AGATCAGCAAGAGTATCCTCCTCCTGCGGGACAACGTTCCAGTCCACAACTCGCATGTCGCCAGATCAGAAGCACGGGCGTGTGGCTATGAAATTCTCCCCACTCCCTTACTCTCCTCACCTTGCACCCGCTGACTTTCATCTCTTCCCAGCCATGAAGTTGTTTTTGAAAAAAAAGCGTTTTCCAGATGATGCAGCCTTGATTTCTGAAGTTACGACGTGGTTGAAGGACCAACCTGGGGCGTTCTACAAAAACGATGTCCAGAGCTGCATCAAACGATGGGTGAAATGCATAACTCTGGGTGGTTCCTATGTACAGAAAGACTAATAACTGTGCCATTGGCTAATGCATGACATTACATTGTCTACTCGTGGTTTGCCGCTCTCTTCTCACTGGCTAATGTGTGTTAACACCTTCTCTACTCGTTATTTGCCACTCTCTTCTTAATGGCTAATGTGTGATATTACTTTGTCTACTCGTGATTTGCCACTCTCTTCTTATTGGCTAATGTGTGATAACACCGTGTTTACTCGTGATTTGCCACTCTTTTCTCACTGGCTAATGTGTGATAACACCTTGTCTACTCGTGATGTGCCACTTTCTTCTCACTGACTAATGTGTGATTTTACCTTGTCTACTCGTGATTCGCCACTTTCTTCTCACTGACTAATGTGTGATGTTACCTTGTCTACTCGTGATTCGCCACTTTCTTCTCATTGACTAATGTGTGATGTTACCTTGTCTACTCGTGATTCGCCACTCTCTTCTCATTAACTAATGTTGTACCTAGCCTACTCGTGTTTTCTCACTTACCTTTTTCTGACCAATTTGTGAATATACATGGTTTACTGACGAGTTTTTATTCGACCTTCCAATTTGTGATTAAACCTGATTTACTTGTGAGTTTTCACTGAACTTTACCTGGCCAGTTTGTGATTATACCTTGTTTACTGGTGAGTTATGACAGAATTTTTCCTGGCCAATGTGTGATTATATCTGGTTTACTGGTTTGTTCTCACTCAACTTTTTCTGGTCAATGTGTAATTATACCTGGTTTACTTGACTTTCTACTCCAATTTTCCTGACCAGTGTGTGATGTGAGTAATTATAAACTGCCAATTACAAATTGAATTCACACTTCACATACACATCGAGTTGCTCGTATTTACAGTCACAGATACATAACCTATGCCGTAATTATAATACTGTTCCTATGCATTTTTGCAATGTTCTGTGTGTACGGGCTTATATATGTTCTTTCTGTAGTTTTCGTTATTTTCATTCTCAGTTCACCAACTGTTGGTGCGGATTCCTCACTCATAGCTGGCAGGCAGATAAATTTTTAAATCTTTCAGAGCAGTTTGGGATGGGTATATACGCTTTGTCTAAGATACTGAAATTCTGAAATACATTA